CGCACGCACGCACGCTCGCTCGCTCGCTCGCTCGCTCGCACAATGATGACTGTGATTGGTCAATTCCTTACACCTTCAGACTTTACGATTATTATATACGACTCCTTATTTTGGCTGCGTTCAGCAGAACGTTTGTTTTGCAACTGTTGTAAGTTTCCTTCGCGCTAATTGGATCATACTTTTAGATCTAGAAGAATGGTCCTATCTCAGCAGACAATCATAAAACGGTTGCAAAACTGTTGAGTCTGCTGAACGCAGCCATTGTAGATCTCGCATTACATCACGGCTTGAACCTTGAACTTTCATTTGAATTAGGCTACAAACAATCCGTCGTTAGACAGTCGACTTTGACAGGTCCTGAATACACATCTGATCTGAACCCTGATCAAAATTATCAAAATGTAATCAAATTTACAGACCTACGCGTTCATTCACGAAATACGCAAAGCAACGGTTCAATTCAATCCTTAACTATAAGGGACATACAAATTTCGAATAATACAAAATGGCACTTCGAAAGATCAAAGCTCGTCAGATATTTGATAGCAGGGGCGAACCGACTTTGGAAGTCGATGTGATCACCGATATCGGCTTATTCAGATCATCGGTACCTTCTACCGTGTTACCTAATCCAAATCAGGCGCGCGAGATTCGAGATGAGAACAAGATGGCTTATCATGGTCGCTCAGTATTCAAAGTTGTCAATATCATCAACAACGTGATTGCTCCTCAATTGATAAAGTCAAGGCTAGAAGTTTGTCAACAAACGGAGATAGATGAGTTGTTAAACAAGTTGGATGGTACAGAGAATAAGTCGAGACTTGGAGTTAACGCTATCCTCGGAGTCTCCGTAGCCTGCTGCAAAGCAGGTGCTGCTAAAAAAGGTCTACCGGTTTACAGGTCACTACATAATATCATTCTATTCCTTATCTTATAACTAAATTAATCTAATCCATTATACAAAGAAACTTATATGTTCATTTATTTCCGGCCTTTTACATTTTAGATACATTGCCGAATTGGCGGAAAATAATAAATTGTGCATACCTGTACCGAGTTTTAGTATGATCAATGGAGGACGATATGCTGGTAATAATTTATCGTATCAAGAATTCATGATATTACCCGTAGGTGAGGACGTACATGCATATAAAATCGAGTATACGATCTAATCGTTAAACGTCGAAATATTCGGCTAGTTTTTATACTTTTCATATGTGATGTATAGGTGCTGAGAGTTTTGCCGATGCCCTAAAAATGGCTACCGAAATGTATCGAGTACTAGAGAGAAATATCATTGATGCAAAACAAATACGGAGGCCGCTTCTGATTAACGACAATGGAGCCTTTGCTCCTGATTTGGAAAACGACGAAGCCGCTTTGACTCTTTTAGACGCGTCCATCAGAGACGCGGGTTACGAAGGAAAAATTAAAATAGCGTTGGATGTCGCAGCGAGCGCTTTTTATAAAGAAGGTTTCGCTATATATTCAAAAGATCTCCTTTTAAACACAATTATCTTACGACCATATCCTAAAGAAAGTTCATGTTTACATTCACATAGGAAAATACGATTTAGCGTTCAAAACGAAGGATTCCGATCCCACTAATTACTTGGAAGCAGAGGCCTTAAGGGATCAATATCTAAGGTATCTCTCGAAATTTCCAGCAATATTCTCAATCAAAGATCCTTTCGCTCAAGAAGATTGGAACGGTTGGTTAATGATTGCTCATCAAGGAATTCAAGTAGTCAGCGATGATCTCACAGCAATGAATATCGAGAGAATCGAAGAAGCAATGAATAGAAATATAGCAAACTGTCTCGTCCTGAGAATATCGCAGATCGGCACTGTGACAGAAGTCATTAATTGCGCGAGAATGGCGATAATCAATAATTGGAATTATATCGTGAGTGCGAGCCATGGTGAGACAGAAGACAATTTCATCGCAGATTTGGCGGTTGGACTTTCCGCTGGCCAATTCATAGCTGGAGCACCTTGCAGGTATTAAGGCGCGAGCAATTGTAACATTGAGAGTGAGAGTGAGAATGAGAGTGAGAGTGAGAGAGGGGGGGAAGAGGGAGGAAGTGCTCCGAGTTTAAAATTAATTTCAAATCGAATGCCAAAACATTCCACTAGCGAGAATTATGATATTATGATACATAAAAGTCATATTCATTTTTAACACTATGATAATTGCAGGAGTGAAAGAATAGGCAAATATAATCAAATATTGAGGATCGAAGAGGAACTTGGTAAAGATGCCAAATACATCGGAACAAAATATCAAAATCCTCTAATGAAATAATCTTGCAGACAGTTATGTGCCATTAACTGAAATGTATATGAAACAATGAAGGGGAAAGCAGAAAGATCAAATAACGCTTACCATCCCCCGTACAATAAAATCCATTGAATCGATCAAAGTATGTATTTTGAAAACGTTGGTGATTTCCATAAAGGGTCCGCATCATACCCGGCCACGGTCGACGGAAAACGAGGTATCCCTCTCCTTCGCCTTCAATCACACGACCATCCTCGTCAAGAAGCTCCGGCAAAACTCCGAAGAAAGGAAACGTCTAGACATTCGTTTCATTTTTTACATCAGAAATAAATTATTTATTACAGGAATTATTAATGAAAAAGTTCTTTACCGCAGAGCCTGGCTTCATAGGTGTAGCACCTGGTAACGGTGTAATCACATGACCACCAGTTTCCGTTTGCCAAAACGTATCTGCTATACTGCACTTGCTGTGGCCAACGAGATTATAAAACCAAAGCCAAGCCTCGGTATTGATCGGTTCACCGACTGAACCGAGGACCTGAAACACATATAAGCATGTGTAAGCTCTCTGTATGTTAAGCATTTGTTTCCTTTTCTTTTTTTACTGATGAGTGAGATTTACCTTAAGTGTGGATAAACTGTGCTTTTTCACAAGTTCATCACCAAACTTCATTAGTGATCTAATGGCCGTTGGTGCCGTATAAAATTGCGTGACCTTGTACTTATCGATGATAGACCAATATCGATCATTTTCTGGATAGAAGGGTGTACCCTCAAACTGTAAACCAATGAGATGCAGACCGAGGAAATAAAAAAGTCGAGAATGATCTAGTAAGAAAATGTGAAAAACGCATACGTACTATAACGGATGTTGCGCCATTCGCCAACGGACCGTAAACCACATAAGTATGTCCTGTGATCCAGCCACAATCGGCGGTACACCAATAAATATCACCTGGATGATAGTCGAAAACATATTTAAAAGTTGTTGCCGCATAGATCAGATATCCCGCGGTAGTATGGAGAACGCCCTTTGGTTTTCCAGTAGAGCCGCTATATGATTATGGAAAACAAGAGTCCTTTCAGCGAGAATAAATTAGGAGAGCTACTTGAGAGAGTCTTGGAGGAAAGCTCTGTCCGTTATCTTTTTATTTGGTTTCGATATAGGTATGACAGAGTGAATATATGAAGAAAAGGACGGTACGCGCGTACCTCGTATAAAGGATAAAAAGTGGATCCTCGGCAGCCATCCAAACTGGATAACAGCTCGCTTCCGCATCCTCCATCTCATCATGCCACCAAACGTCTCGATCATCGTCCCAAGAAACATTGGCGATATCCATGGATGTACCGTTGCTAGTGCCATTCACTCCCTTCATCTTACCCTGAAGATTGTTGAGTCTTCTCAGATGCGCAACGACAATGCAGCTTTCAAGTTGATGACCATGCTTCTTGGCCTTTGCCACAGCTTCGTCGCAGATATTTTTCAACAGAAGTAATTTCTCGCCTCTCCACACGCCATCTGTAGTAATGAGAACCTTGGCCTTAGAATCGAGGATACGTTCCGCCAACGAATCAGATGAATATCCTGCAAACTGTGAGATTGTAAGTATACATTATTCTTTTTTCCTTTTTTATTCATTGACGTTTATGTTTATACCATTTCATTGATATTTGTACTTAGTACTTACCACCACGCTGTGAATCGCTCCTATCCTCGTGCAAGCCAGCATGGCGATCGGTAGCTCCAAAATCATCGGCATATAAATCACCACTTTGTCCCCCACAGAGACACCTTTCGATTTTAGAACATTCGCAAACCTACACGTCTCTTCGAGCAACTTTCTATACGTCAGTCGCGAATAATCTTCCGGATCGTTTCCTTCCCTGACAACACAATGGATAGTAAAATATCAATGAAAATTCATTCAATTTGAGAGATGTGAAAAGTATCTATTAATATTCTAATTCTCGCGAGCAATGAATTGCGTAGCGTAACGCAAAGAAAACGGCAAGGATACATACATATCCCGCACTTGTGTACAATAGAGTGAGTCAACTAAAGTCAATTTCATTTTTTTCCATTTTAATTTATCTTAGGTATACGATCTAAAAGATCTCGAGCGACTACGAGGAAGCTTGGAAACGTCCTCGAGTCGCGTTGAGAGAGAGAGAGAGAGAGAGAGAGAAAGATTGCGCATATATTTTAAAAAGGCTCTTTATACTTCTATATAAGCGTAACATGCTAATGTACCAAGAATTATCATAGAATGGAATATATATTACATAAGGTCAAAACTTGTTAAACTTGAGTCTAGTTATCTAGAATCGTGCGAATAATTAGGAAAGAATTAGGCAAATCGACCGATAAAATGAGATACTTTTTAACAAATCAATCGCCACTGATTTTGAACAAAACACCTAGCTTTGTTATTCCTTAATAAGATGATTGTGCATGACTTTTTTTATAACTGTAGCGGTAACCGTATCGGTATTGATATAGAGACAAAAAGCGTAATACATTCAACATGATAATACTTGTGAAGACGAATCGAAATGTATCATTTAATTCGTTTACATATTTATTATTTAACGACATTGCAATATCAATTGCGCGTCTTCTATAATTTCTTATCTTTCTCATTCAACTAGATTTGCAATTGATCTCGTGCGTGATATTATTCTTGAGTAACGTATTATTATCCTTTAGTGAAGTGAAGCGCGCCTGACCTTCATCTCTCAATCTCAATCTCCTCTCTAAACTCAGGGCTGATGGTTTTTAATTCATATATGTATAGGTACGCCTATGATTAATATACAGATATATATGGTACAACATACGTTTTGTACTTTGCATTTTTATTTATAACTTATGCTATCCGCATTTCAAGTTAAATGCATTTTTATGATATTTTCACCAGTTTCGTCTTGATGCTCCCTTCAACGATCGGTCGAACGAGCGAATGAGAGTAGATCCAAAATTGCCAAATTTTTTTAAATCTGTACATCATCGGATTTACGCTCGAATACTTATTACTTGAGCTTGCACATTCGCAAGATGAAAAAAAAAGAAACTTGACTTGAAACTTTGCTCAGATATATCTCTGAGAGCCTTACAAAAGATAAATTTTCAGTGTGAATCGCGTGACCGAATCGTGCCATCGCGCGCTCACGCGGAGCTCGGCCTACTCGGCGGAGCTGACGCAACGAATGACGCGATCGCGCGCGATGTCTCGCTGACCAATGAAGGCGCAGGTGTAAGCCATGTGTCGAATTTTTCGACAAATAGATAGGTATTGTCTCACGAAATGATTGCGCGACTGAACAATCTCAACTGATCTCAACTCGTCGCATGCGCTCGACAAAGTTGCATCATCGTTCCATTAAGGATTAAGAAATACTCGGTCTGAAAAGCTTGGATTCTCTAAAATGTAATTAGTACGATGTTATGTTATTACATTCTTGATGGTAATCGATGATGAACGACTGAACGACCGATACGGCGCGGCGCGGGCGTAGGACATAGGAAGGCCGGAAATGAAATATGTATGAAGCGTGATATCGCGAAACTCACTATCACATTTTTCACTCGTGTCTCGCGCGGTCTCGTGCGTCTTTCGCACATATACATTAAGTGTATGTATATATATATCAAGTTTCTCTTTCCAAAGATTTCTCGCGAGAGAAGTTAAAACTGTTAAAGTGGCGAACGGAACTAGCTGTTCCTAGCACGCCCTTTCAATCCGTAACAGAAACGATAACACGAGATGGACATCGATCATATCGCTACAACAATGTGAAATACCATTTTGCGTAAGCGACGCAAGCTCAACGTGTCCGAATGACTTGCATCTACTATTGGAGAATATACTTTTGCATGGAAATGAACCGCGCGCGATCAGATTAGCCATCGAATTCGCGCGAATTCGATCAACGTATCCTTAACTACATCTTACCAGTAAAATGCTATTTTATCACCATTTCCGCTCTTTACATTTTTATCGAGTAGATTGAAGCTTATATTTGTCGACGCTCCCTCCATCCACTTTATGAAAATGTCACCTTTACTCAGATCGAAGTTGTACGAGAAAAACTTGTCTTCGATCGCTGGCGTTTCCCAATAAAATTGTTTGGCGATTTCACCCCAGAATTGCGCCGGCTCCTTTATAGATCTGGATAAAAAAAAAGCAAATTCATGTCAATTCGAGCTATACCAAATGATTTCCCTTACTCCTTTTTCGCAAAAACAATCCATAATTATCATTCATTCATAATTTACAATTATTATTTATAATAAATTAAAAGCGTTATAAATAATAATTATGGACCGTTTTTAATTTATTCGAATTTCCTGTAATAAAGTTTTAACATCATTATTGTAACAAGAGCTGGAAGATTCGTGTTTAACGAATCGATCCACTTCTCCTTTCTTACGTAACGCATTCTTCATTCCACTTTATTTACAAATTTATGCACGTTCGGTGCACCCGCGAATTGTGCACATTATTATTGTCGTTTCCGCATTAATTGGACGAGTTCGTAGTCCTCTCCGACGAAATATATTACGGATGAAATAAATATGATCTATACTCGAAGCAGCAGAGGCTACACAGCTATTATACATAAATCTTGGAAACAAAAAATCCTCATGAAAGAATTCGCTTGGATCGTTTGCCAAGCAATTGCAGCGAATAATTACGATGTAATCGGAACTAAAAAAAGCATAGGAAAAGAAAGTTAAGATACATATAGAGAAAGAATAATTCCGTTCTGCATTTTTAGCTGCATTTCTAGCAATCCGCGGAGGAGCGCGCTTCTTCCTCCACGGAGAAATTTGTCCCACCCCTACGAGATCGATATCGCGCAGATCGCCCTTCTATTTATGCCGTTTGCAGCAGTTGATGTTCGAATTAAAATCAACATCACACACAATTGAAACGCTATCTCTGATTCATCTAACGTTCGATTCAACTCTGTAATAACTCGTAATAACTAGATCTATAACCCGTTCACAAGTAAATATCTTCTTTAAAATTCCCTCGACCCGTTTCGTTTTTTCTTTTTTGCCGTTTGTTATTGATTCCAATCCGAGTAACAATAAGCTAAAAAAAAGAATTAACACCTTTAGCATTTGCAGCATCTTTATCACTTATTCGATCGTTATTCTTTTTGCATGTCGCAACATATACTTAATTAGCAAACGATGCTTTTCGTATCTCGATAGGTATTGGACGTTCACGGCTGTCACCGAACGTTATACTTTCCAAACTAAACGACACGCGATGATGATAGCGCTCTCTCTTTCTCTCTCTCTCTCTCTCCCCCATATGTATACATATGTACGACATAGAAATTCGTTCATATTTCTACTCACTTTTCGTGCATTCGCTTGTATTGTTCCATGCTAGCGCAGTGCGCCTCTCTAGCGAGCTCCAAATTGGGGTAGTACATTTTCTCCGCCATGTTTCACTTCTCTCTTTTTTTCTCACTCTTTCTTTCTCTCGTCTTCGCGTTCAAATCCTCGTTCAAACTACTTGAGATTGGAAGATGTCTGTAAAAATAAAAAGGCCGTAATATTCGTAATATTCGTAGTGTGTACGGAACACAGTGGTGCAACGAAGTAACTGTTGGCTAGTGGCGACTAAACTCCACTAAGCCCGCAGCCCGCTTTCCACCACTTTACCGGCCTGACCGATAAATCTCGACTGAAACGCGCGCGCAACACGGTCGAAGGACGACGACGACGACGACGACGACGATATAGGACGTAGTGCGCTGTGCGATTTGCGAATCAGTGTGAATGGTGCGCGATACGACTGGTGTGGACCGGTGCAACGGGCCGCTGCGCCGCGGTGAGCTTTGAGCATTGTGAGCAATGTTACAATGGTATATTCTGTGTGAGAACACAGAACAGGTGAGAGAGCAGTTACGATGAACGGCACCCGATTTATACGTTCCTATATTTTCCATTCGATATATTCTTTTTCACATCACACGATTAACCGCTTTCTTTTTTTCGCCCTTAATTCATGTCCTTGGCCACCTTTAAATTTATCAATTTATTATACCTACCAGTCGAATCGTAATAATAGTCTCTCGCTTTCGCAAATCTTAACGCTACTCTAGTGTCCGTGAATAATTAATATTTGTCTCATTCCTGCAAAAAGCTTTCGTTGAAACGTGCTCCAGAGTAGAGACCCTCTAATCAGAGTCGCGACACGAAAAAAAGAGACTCTGTTAGAGACTCTCTTCATGGTTTTTCCCTTAAGGGTCTCCAGTTTTAGCAAAATCACACGAAAGAGAGAGAAATACATTGTATCTCTTTCTAACCTTGATAGTTTCTCGCGAGTCGTGATACATCTTTCTGCTCTTGAAGATTACTGACTTATTAGAAGATTAATAAAAATAATTCCAAAATGGTTGGGTGTGCAGCCCCATTTTGCACTAATTTCTGCAGCAAAAGGCTATGTAATGAAAATATTTCCGCGTGATGCTAAACGTCGAACATTATGGGCAATAAATGTTGGGAAAAATTGGACACCAACGAAAAATGCATATCTCTGATAAAAATGCATAACTTTGATAAAAAAAAAATAAAACATTTTTTTTAGTAAGCATTACTTCCACATATAATATGAGAAATCTATAATCTAGTAATAACTTTAAAATGTTTAATCTTGTTTTGTTTGATTTTAACAATAATACAAATGTATATACTTTGAAGGGGCGATATCCGTATCGGAATACTAAAAATCGATTGTATCGATTCGAAGTAGACGAAGTTTTTAACCTTGTTAAAAAAAGAAATGATTCTTTGTAAAGATATCGGTTTAAAATGGCACCATCTTAGTTGGAAAAATTTTTCGCAAAATAAATTAATTTGCGAACGAATTTTAGCGTATCGATACGCGCATCGCCCATTCCTACAATATAGACGGGATTCGAATATAGGCGGAAATTGCTAAAAAATGGACCAATCAAAACTGACTGTCTGATATCGCGACTATGATTAGAGGATCTCTACTCCAGAGTAGAGATCCTCAGCTAAGAGATGCGTGAACTTTGAGCATTTGCAAGAACATGGCGACCTCCATTATGTGTCATATGTGTGTGATACAATAAAATGTATGTGTTGTATCCAATAAAATATATAATAGAAATACAGGCGATTGAGAGCAAAACTTAATGACTCCTGCACATTGGACGCGGAAACGCTTGCCGCGCGGCAAAATGCGACGCGGTAACCAATGAATATGTTAGGAGCTGTAAGCTTATTGGCTACCGTAAGACGCAGTTATTAAAGCGTTATACGTTAACAATATATTTCATAGATAAATTTACAAACATGATAAAATCGGATGTTTCGGCTAAGTTCGAGCCATCTTCAATGATGTCCAAATATTACAAATTATTAAAGCTAAGATCCGTGCATGCAGCTAGGAGAGCCTCTTCAATTTCAAACTTGACAAGCATCACTGCCGGTTAGTTGAATGGCTAACTGAGTAACGAAGAAAAGTAATTATTAAAAATACGACAATGATAACACCAAGCATAAAATGATCAAAGGACTCACCCGCTGCAATTCATGATCCAAATATAAAAAAATTTTAGAAACGCATGAATAAATCGTTAAGAGGACCGACTTGTACAAAG